CTTGTGAGCTACCATGTGGGTACAGAAAACTGAAACTCGGTCCTCTGGAAGAGCAGTAAGTGCTCTTAACAGCTGGGCCATCTCTCTGGTCCCTCTTTTCCTTTTTAACCTAGATTATGCATATAAGAGAATGCATGCAATATTTGTTTTTCTGAGTCTGTTTTATTTTGCTAAACATGATGATCTCCAGTTCCATCCATTTACCTACAAATGACATAATTTCATTCTTCTTTGTAACTGACTAAAACTCCAGTGTGTTGTGTGTGTGTGTGTGTGTGTGTGTGTGTGTGTGTTTCACATTTATTTAATCAATTCACCTGTTGATGGGCATCTAGGCTAATTCCATAAGTTGGCTGTTATGAATAGTACCACAATAGATAGACACACAGCATTTCTCTAGTCCTATCTCTATTAACCACTGTCTGAACATAGAATCAGTAACAGACCTCTTAAAGATAAATACTGAAATTTTTAAACTTTTGCAAAAGTTGTTAGATTAATATGACACAACATATGTACAAGTATTGCTAACTCATTTAAAAGTCATAAACATCAAGACATAAAAAATATCCTACTCTCATCATGAAATATTGATCCAAAACCATTTTTATGTCCTGCTAAAGGGATGCTTAAGCAAGAAAAGGATGGAAATTATCTGAGTCACATGTTCAAGTCTAAATTATGATGAATTTAAGTGAGACATCTAAGGCAGCAAGTGGGAAAGGGTGAATAACAGGTATAGGGACAGTATCCTGGACTCCATGCTCCATGCTTAGCTGGAGAGCCTTAGAAAAGCTACTTAACATCTCCAAAGCTTATTCTGTTCACTAGAAAACTAAATGAGTAATAATACCTACCTCTGCGGATTGCAGAGCAAATGACAGAATGTGCTTAGTCTGGTATCTGATACACAGTGAGCCCTTCACAGAGCGTAGGTATTACACTTGTCATCATTATTTCCTGTTGGTGGCTGACAGAGGAGCCTGATAAAGACTTGTCTACCAAGAATTAAATTACGCCCCAGCCTTATCACCCAGCATCTACCCTGTGCTAATCCCAGCCTCATTACCCAACATTCAGCCTATGTCAATCCTACTCCACACCCCAGTTGAGTCTTTAAACCACCACAGCAAACACTATGAAGCCCCATGGTGACCTGGCCCAGGTGTCACTCACATCCTAATTGGTTTCCTTCATGTCTTAGAGAATTTCCACTTATGGTTCCTCTGTTCAGAACATGTTTTTCTCCCCCTGCCTTGATTAGTCAGCCTTCAAAGCAGTGCTCACACGCCACCTCCTCAAAGAAGCTCTCTTACACAATCAGACCAGAAGTTTATCACACACTCTTGAGACCTCTGGACTTTTCTTTCATAGCACCCAATTATTAAATATTGACTTATTTGGTGTGATAATTAGCTTTAATTGTCAATTTGGTACAACTTAGAGTTACCTAGAAAGAAAGTCTCAATAAGGGATCATCACCTTGGGTTGGCCTGTGGGCATACCTGTGGGAGACTGTCTTAATTAATTGATATGGGAAAATTTGGCCCACTGTGAGCAGCACCATGCCCTAGGCAAGGGGTCCTGAATTGAAATGAGTAAAGAAATCAAACCAAGCAAAAGCGAGCAGGCAAGTGAGCATATGTGCATTCATTTCTCTCTGCTCTTGACTGCGGATGTGCTGTGACTAAGTTCCTGCCTTGACTTCCCCACAATGATGGATCATAGCCTAGAACTGTGAGCTAAGATAAGCCATTTCTCCCCTAAGCTACTTTTTGTCTGGGTATTTTATCACAGCAACAGAAATGAAACTATGACCTTTGGTTACCACCCTCTTTTTAGTGAGAACCCCAGGAGTGTTCATCCCTGAATCCTCAGTATTGAGTCCAGGGTCTGGATTTAGTAGGTTTTTCCATGTACAATTTTACCTCCCTGTATCTATAAGCTATATATCCATCAACTCAACCAATCACAGACTGGAAATGTTGAAAAGAATTGCAACTGTACTAGACATGAATAGACCTTTGCTTGTCATAAGTCCCCTCAAACAATGCAGTATAGCAACTGTTCATACAGAATTTACATTGTATTGAATATTAGAAATATCATTTGCACTGTACAGGAGGACTGCACAGGTTCTATGCAAAGACTATACTATTTCAGGTTGACTTTTTTCTTCCACTGCTGGGGCTGGAACCCATGGTCTTGCATGTATTGGGGAAGCACACAAGCTACATCCTCAGCCCACTGTGTCATGTCACATAAGGGATGTGAACATTTGCAAGTGTTCAATTGTGGGTGGGCTGAAACCAAGCTGTATACAGTCTGAAAGATTACATGCTTAGATGGCATCAGCCTGGCTGTGGCAGTAGATGAGCTGAGGTGTGCAAGGTTCTAACTCAGAACAGGGGGAAAAATGATGCTTAACCTCATCTGCAGCCTTATTTCAAAGACCAGTGAGAGCCTGCCTGTATCCTCAAGGACAAAAGAAAAAAGAGAAGGATCTGGTAATCAGAATGGAGAAACACAGGGGGAGAGAGAGGAAGAGGGAAGGAGGGAGGGAGGAAAAGAGAGGTGGGGAGTAGACTAAATATAGTCTTGGAGAATCACTGTGACAGCAACATGGGGGGGAAACGTTCCCAGGAACCAAAGTAAAATGTGTAGGCACAATTGGTTAAAATGGCAAAGATCTGTCACCTCAGATGCCAAACATTTGACACTGGCTGCTGCCCACCATGCACATATTAAATCTAGAATTCTCAAGGTAATACTATTTTTGGTGATGATGAACTTTATACAGTAGCTGGGAAGTTTTTCCTTTCAGGTTTATTATAAAAGCAATGTAAGTACAAGGCAAAAAAGTCAAACAGAACATAAGGGAATGGACAGAGTGTGAAGGTTCAGTGAGGATGCCAACCTCATCTCAAAGGCAACTGCTTATGTTATGAGATTTGATTTCATTCCAACACTTTCCACACAATCCTATGAAAACAGTACTTGTTGACTGATTTGTATGTGTTAAGATATTGGATCTCTTCTCACATTCAGATTTTAAATTTTATTTTTATTATTTTAATTATGTGTGTGTTGGGGATGAGATAGTGCACATGAATACGGGTACCCTCGGAAGCCAGAGGTATCAGATCCCCTGGAACTGGAGTTACAGGCTGCTGTGATCTTCCAAACTCAGGTTCTTTGAAAGAGTAATGTGTGCTCTTAACCACTGAGCCATCTCTCCAGCCCCCACATTCAGATTTTCATAGCTCTCCAATAGTCCACTTGCTAGAGATGCATGAAAATGCTTCAAGTTCTCCCTTGTGATTGAATATTTAAAAGAAATATCCAAGAAGTAGCCACAATCAAGAAAACCTCTCCATTTCCAGAATTTAGCTTAATCATATCTAAGAAGTCTTTGCATGGAAGATAACATACTGATTTCTGAGATGAAATATGGACATGTTTGGGGGGCATTATTCTGCCTGCCACAGCTTTGGAATCAGATTTCAAAGTCAGTGTTGTTACATGCACATCTATTCCTGAATATGTGCTGAATTTCAACTTACCGCATCCTGAACTACAGCTAAGAAATACACTATTTGGCTCTGTGGCTTTGCCTAATTACCTGTGTCTCCATTTTTCTCATTTGCAGAACTTCAGGCATTATTTCTAGCTCACAGGAAATGTTTATCAAGTGTCTTCAGGCATCTCTTTCCACTTCAGGAGAACTCAGAAATTGTTATATGCTATTTTCATTGTGATCAAATGTAATAACACTGGGGTTAGCAGCAACAGGGTAGAGAAGCGGACCCTCTTATAATCTGCTGCTGTGAGTGTAAATTGGTACAGACTTTCTACAAGGCATTATGGCATTGTAGACATGATGAAAACCCTTGTAAATGTTTCCTTTTTATCCCAGTAATTATCCATTCGAGAAATGTACCTTAAGGGCATGGCTGAACGCATATACAAAGATGGCTGGTGAAATGCTACTTATAAAGCAAAGGCTGAGAAGCAGGAACAAACTAGATATTCTCAAATAAACAATTAGATAAATAAACATACATATGCATATTACAGATCCCTCAGCCACATGAAGGACTTTAAAAGAATATTATCATGCTCGGAGAGTTGGGAAATATTAGTGACAAACTCAGAGTCTCCTTCTGAGCTTTACCTCGGCCCTCTCTTACTTTGAAGATACAAGGTAGCCCAGGCTGGCCTTAAACTTGCTTCAGCCTCTGGAGTAGTGGAGTTATGGTTTGTACCACCTTGAGCAAGCCAAAACTCAGGGTCAAAGATTGGCCTGTGGTGGCGCACGTCTTTAATCCCAGCACTCAGGAGGCAGAAGCAGGTCCATCTCTGTAAGACTGAGGCCAGCCTGGTCTCCATAGAGTCCAGGCTAGCAAGAGCTATAGGGAGACCCTGTCTTTAAAAAACAAAACAAAACAACCATCAGAGTCCAAGGTCACGGTTACTATTTCATACAGATTAAAAAAAGAAGAACGTGGCGGGGAGGTTGCCGGGAAAAACTAAGTATAGATTTCATGATGATAACCGTGGCTGTTTCTGGGTAATGAAATAGTCTTATTCAGGCTTCACCTGTATTTTCTATGGGCTAACAATGAAGGTGAGGAGGGGATTCTGACAGGGAACAGTTCCCCTAGACTGCTTACCTGGCGTTTCCAGGTACTGAACAAATACGACCCAAGATGTCCCTCTAGTGGAAGGCGGGACGCGGCCGCAGCCGGCACTTGGTTGCGACTTTGTAAAACAAGCTTATTGTATTCAAGACGTTTGCAAGCAAACAAGAATCAGAAATTCATAAAGTACTGTGCATATTCAAATTTTTGATGCGGAGAAGGGGATAATTGCAAAAGTAAAGACCAAACCGCACACGGAGAAAGTGGTGCTAATTCCGGGCGCACTGGAATATAGACAGTTATTCTGAACTGTCGATATCGGAGGATTAAATTACTTAGGCCCCTTCTAGGTCTGCATTCGGGTAGACTGTGTTCTATGTCTAGGGGATCAGAGGATGCGGAAACAAGAGGCCTTCGGGATGCAGCCTGAGAGAAAGCAGCCACTTATCCCAGAGCGCTAAAAGAATTCGACTCCTTTCGGTTCCTCTCAGGCCAGGCTCAGCCAGCTCTAACCCTCTCGGGCTCGGCTTCTTTCGGCTACAATCGGTAGGCTCTCCAGTAGGACCCGGCCCTCTTCGGCTATATCCTGCCTGCACGCCTCTTGCACTCGGCTTCCTTCGGCTACGTCCGGCTTTCTCTCCTTTTGGACTCGGCTTTCTTCGCCTACATCCGGCCCGCGCTCGTCGTGGACTCGGCACTCTTCGGCTACGACCGGCTCACGCTCGTCGTGGACTCGGCCTCCTTCGGCTACCTTCGTTCCGCGCTCGGCTTTCCTTAGCTGAGTTCGGCCGCGCGGCGCGCACCTCCTCTTCGGCTGCGTTCGGCCGTCTCTCGCCCGCTCGGGCTCGGCTCGCTTCGGTTGCGTCCGACCACCGCTCGGCTCCGCTCGGCTCTTTCCGCCTGCGTCCGGCCGCGGCCCCGGAAGGGCGCCCATGGAGCCGGGATTGCCCGCTGCTCGCAAGGCCATGGCGCCGCTGTTGGAGTACGAGAGGCAGCTGGTGCTGGAACTGCTCGACACCGACGGGCTGGTGGTGTGCGCCCGCGGGCTCGGCGCCGACCGGCTCCTCTACCATTTCCTGCGGCTGCACTGCCACCCGGCCTGCCTGGTGCTGGTGCTCAACACGCAGCCGGCCGAGGAGGTGCGACCGCGAGATGGGTGGACCCGAGGGCGTGGGGACATCCGAGCCGACAGTCCCGGGCGTGAACGCGAGGCCCCAGCAGGATGCAGGGGCTCCAGGAGGGTGCAGGTCCCTAACAAGACAAGGGAGGGAAATGAATGGAGGTCCCTGGGGGAGATGCAGGGCCCTGACATGGCGTGAGGACACTGCGAAGGATGGAAGGGGGTTCCGGGGGATGGGGGTAAGGTCCCTGACAGGACAAGGGAAAGCACTGAATGGAGTTCCAGGGGTATACTGCAAAGATGGAAAGGGTCCCAGGGGGACACGGGTCTCTAACACAATATGGGAGTGAACTGAGTGGAGGTCCTTGAAGGAGATACAGGGCCGTGACACGGAGGACTGGAAAGGGAACAAAATGCAGGTCCCAGACACTGAAAGGAGGGGCCTTGAGTGGATTAGGGAAGACTTGGGGGGACTGGATTTCCCTGCAAGGGAGGGTGAAGTGTCAGGAAAAAAATCTAGGTGGGAGTAATGCAGGAGCCCAGAAGTTGAATAGTGTGTGTGTTTCTGGGGACAAAGGAGTGGGATCCCTAGAAGGGAGCAATGATAGGGGTGGTAAGGTCTCTGGGGTGATAGACAAAAGGAGACCTTGAGGCTGCACAGAGCCTGTAGAGAAGAGGAGGGACTCCAGGAATAGGGTAAGAAAGAAAAGAAAGCCAAGGATATTGGGGGAGTATAACTGAGGTTAAGGAGAATGGCCCTAAGGAAGATGGCATGGGGATACACCTTGATGGGGAAAGTATGACAGATCTGATGATCCCCTAGATCAGGTGGCCAGGAGGAAAATGTCAGCTGAGAAGAGTCACCACAACTGCCCTGAAGGCAGAGACCCTATTGGATATTCCTGGGTATGTCCAGTGCTTGGCATGGAGCTTCATACAGTGTAAGATGCCCAGGAAAGTGGTATTGAACTGTCAGAGTAACAGGCCATGGGACCTATGGACAGTCTGAAGTCTCCTTAGGATGCATCAATACAGAACTAACAGTCTCACTGTCTGTAAAAAGGAATCCCTATGTTACCTCCTCCCAGAGGTTGCTTGACTGCAGAGCTGGCTTTGATGAGAAAGTTTCTAGACTGTAGAAGTCTTTTAACCCAGGATTTTCAAAGGGTTTGTTGTTGTTGAGTTTGGTGTTAAAACGCAAATAATGACTAACACACAATTATTCCTTAGTATAAATTCCAAAGCACAACTAAATGTAGATCTATTAATTGATGGATATAAAAGAATGATCTATATATACACTGTTACATTCATGATCTCTGAGAAAGAAGTGCCTTGCCCTTTGTAAAACAGCCTGCTAATGAGTTTAATTTGATTTAGGAGTATTTTATCAATCAGCTGAAGATAGAAGGAGTGGGGCATCTCCCTCGCCGTGTGACAAATGAAATCGCAAGTAACGGTCGCTATGAAGTGTACACACAAGGTGGTATTATATTCGCAACAAGTCGAATACTTGTGGTTGATTTCTTGACTGATAGAATACCTTCAGATTTAATAACTGGTAAGAATTTGAAATCTTATTCCGTATACGATGTAGACATGTCTATTTGTGGCTGTCCCCTCTACTAAATGCCAAACTAGAACCTTCCTGTGGGCATCACTTCATCTTTTTACTCAACATTGTAGTTCTAGCTGTTGGCATAATTTCTAACACATTGTGGATGCTCAGTAAATATTTATGACATATGTAAGCAACAGTCACATATCTCTTAATTATGATCAGTTCTGAGAACTATGTGATTTAGCCATTGTGAGAACATCTTAGAACTTACCTACAAAACCTGTATGTTGTCGCTCGGTTAGACATCGATCTTTTGATACAATCAAGAGACAGTAAACGTGAGATATAGGGGCCACTGCTGGCATGAACCCAGCACACTCTTTCACAGTTACATTATTATTTCTGTAAGAAGAAGAAGGACCTCCAAACTAAGGAGAAAAGGTATAATACAGTAAGTACATTCACCAGAACATAGCCATTTATTGTTATTGCTAAGTATTAAATATACTGTACATAATTATACATGCTGTACATCTATATGTCAACACAGTATGTTGTATCTGCATCACCACAGACCCATGTGTTGTGCTACGACATAAGTATAACTATTAGAGCATAGGTATTTTTCAGCTCTATTTCAGTCTTTGGGACCAACATCATGCATGTGGTCCATTGTCACTTGAAACTTCATTATGTGGTTTGTGACTGTAAGATTTGTCTTTTGTTTCACAAGCTTATATTCAGTAAATTCTTGTAGTTGACCAGCATTTGCCTTTAGGACATACATAACCAGACTTGAATTGTTATAAACAATCTTAATATGTTTCTAAAATGATTGGTTTCCTTCCTTTCCCCAAGATTTGAAATTATACCTAATAGTTGCTTGATGATTTTGAGAAAAAAAAGGGGGGGGGGTAGAAAAGCAATTCGTTATCACTTGACCCTTCAGAAACCTTTTCTGATTTCCCCAAAGCTAATCTAAGAGTCTCACCATCTGCCTTCAAGCCACCCTGTGCCTCTCCTCAGCCATCGCTCTCAAAGAACTACATTACTTTTGTCTGTTCATGTCTGGCTCTCTCAGCAGATAAGCTTCCTACCAGGAAGGACTTGTTGATCCAGGGCTGAATCATCGCAGTGGATGGTAGATAATATGTTTGTTGACTGATAATGAGTGTGTGCACAGTGCTCTTCAGTGACCTGCTAGAGGGCAAAAGCTATGAGATTCCTAAGCATACTTCCCACTGTGTCCATCCTGTTGCCCCAAACCTAAATATTTAATGACTAAATACATGAGTGAATGGTTTCTGTGGTTCATGGGAAACTGAGTGAGGAAAAGTTAGTCATTCTTTTTTAACATCTCTCATAGTCTTAGACAGTGACACAGGCCACACAGACAAATGCACCTGATTTTGAATACTAGCAACCCCACTCACAACGAAGGTCCTTAAGTTTCCTGAACTTCATGTTTCTCTTTTAAGTAAAGAAAGTAAAGAGAATAGTGTCTCAGAATGATCAGGATTACCATACTGCCAGGTTCCCAGAAAGCTCCTAATAAATAGTAGCAAAATAAGTTGCCTTTTAGTAACTAGAAATCTTGTTACATCCAAAGTCTCTTATGTTTATTGCTTTTTAATGTGTAAGCTTGGTTTTTAAATTTCTAAAATGAAATAATTGTCTAAGGCCAGGTATGGTGGAGCACACCTTTAATCCCAGCACTGGGAAGCAGAGGCAGGCAGATCTCTCTGAGTTCCAGGACAGCCTGGTCTACATAGTGAGTTCCAGGACAGTACAGTGAGACCCTGTCTAAATAAATAAATAAATAAACGAAAGAATGTCTAGAAACTACCACTAGATGTCAGTATTACATTGACTCAGTCAGCCTGCCTAGACTGGCACAGTCTGAATCAGTGCCCTCTCCACACCTAGCCTACAGGTGGTTCCTGACTGAAACTGACAAATTCACTCCCCATTTATGCTCACTGATCAGTAGTAAGGCTGGATCTACCACTGCTGCTTGGCTGAGTGGAATGCAAATTAATGACAGAATGAATCATTTCCAATTATTCATTCCCTACAGCCATCCCCCAGGATTCCCTTAAACTTTAGGACAGTCCCCGATCAGTTCACCTTCTGGAAACTACTGATACGCACAGTCCTACCTCATTTCCCTTCCATTACCACCACCACATACTCCCCTAGAGTATGCCCTGCCATCTAGAACCCTATACTAAGGGAGAATGGTGAATGTCTTCCCACACTGCCCATGCAAAAGAAAGAAGCAGGAGGATGTGCTCGTTGCTAGAACTGAGCCCCAACTCTTCAAATAGAATTCAAAATATGCTTTTGATTTTTTTTTTTGAAGTTTTATGTTAGATTTGTATGCCCAGTGACAAAATTCTGCCAACATTTAACGTACTAAGGGTCCCTTGTTTGGCAGAAAGAGTGCTAAGAATAGAGATGTGAACATGTTCTAGGTTTGAGCTCACCTTCCCCATGTACCAGCTGTGTGTCCTTCAGCAAATATCTCAACTTCTCTATGCCTCTTGGGTTTTGGGGGGTGGGGTCGGGGAGGGTCACCTATAAACTGGGGAATCCATCCAGGATTATCGTGAGGGTGAAATGAGATAATCCACATAAAATGTTTAGCACTGAACCAGGTATGGTGGATCTTACCTGTTGTCTCAATGCTCAGGAGACTGAAGCAGGAAGATCACTTTGGTTTCAAGAATAGCTTGGGCTACAGAGTGAGATCTTGTATCAAAAAAAAAAAAAAAATCTAGCATCAAGGCACTTAGTAAGCATTCTGTGATCATTACCCTTTGTCACAACTTTCCTGTCCAATGGCAGAGACAGATAAAGCAGTCATTGATTGCAGCTGGTATGGTAGCACATGCTGTAACCCTGGCACTTAGGAGACTAAGGCAGGAGGATTACCACGAATTCAAGGCCAGCTAGGGCTGCATAGCAAGACCCCATTTCAAACATCTCCAAAAAGGAAGAAATTGCAGTAAGGTTGGACGGGGTATTAAATGTCATAAAAGCTTGAAAGTACAGGCTCCTAGGACACAGACCTATCATCCTAGCTACTCAGGAGCCTGAGACAGGAGGATCACAGGAAGAGGCTTGTCCAGACTGCAGAGTGAGTTCAAGGTTAGCCTGAACCTTAGTGAGACCCCGTCTCACAAAGTAAACAGAAGACTAGGGAAGTATCTCTATTGGTAGAGTGTTTTCCTAGCATGCACTGGGCCCCGGCCTCAATCTCCAGCATCACATAAACCAGGTATGGTAGCACATGCCTGTAACCTCGGCGCTCAGAAGGTAATGGCAGGAGAAGTTCAAGGTAATTTTTGGCTATATGACTAACTCAAGCCAGCCTGAAATAACATGAGACCCTGTCTCAAAGAGGAAAACGGGCTCCTGTAGCACTGAAAAGGCCCCAAGCCCATGCTGGTACTGCTTGCTTTCTGAGGTGGTGTCACTGCACAAGCTCTGCCAGTCTGCTTTGCACATGCTCTGGAATCTCTGGCCTCCCCCTTACTTTCTGGATTACCTTGGTGTTGTTCAAATTGCTTCTGTTTTTTGGTCTGATAATAATACCTACCATATAAAAGGATCAAATGAATCATAATATGTAGAAGTACCTAAGACTGACTGGGGTATATTATTCTCGCCTTTCCTCAGAGTTCCAAAACAATGACAACCTTTTGGGATACATTGTCCTAATTGGAGGTCCACCAGTGCTTTACAGATTCATTTTTATTGCTTCCAGTTTGTGTAATATTTCTGTTTTATGTGTGTCGTATCATGTATGTGTCTGGGCCTGTGTACCTGTGCACATACATATGCCAGAGGAGGACATCAGGTATCCTGCTCTATTACTTTCTGCCATATGCCCTTGAGACAGGGTCACTCACTGACCTTGGAGCTAGGCTGTCGTCAGCAATCCCTAGTGATCCTCTGTCTCTGTCTTCCATAGCACTAGAGTTACAGGTGCACACAGCATGGCCATGCCTGGCTTTTTATATGGATGCTGAGGATTCGAACTCAGATCTTCATGCTTGTGCATCAAGCACTCTTAGTCCCTGAACCATCTCCCCAGACCCTTTATGTAATATTTCAACACAGGCTAACAAGGCCTGTGGAGTCCTTGAGAAAACCCACTTACTAGGTACAAAATCCTTTTTGTGAGCATTAAATAAGTATGTTATGTGTACTAGTGTTATTGAAAAATCCTTGTCTTTAAATATTTTAATTAATTTTTACCTTTGCAAAACAAGTTAATTAGCTAAGAGTAAATTTTTAGTTCCACCCACTTTATTCCACAATTTCAAACAACGAAATAATAAAATTTTCAATGTCATTGAAGTACAAGAAAGGTTCATAGATCACTGCACCATTTTCAAGACCCTATGAGTAATGAGAACAAGCCCTAAAACAAGTACATAAATATACGTACTACACGATCAGCTTGATTTAGATCTAAAACAGATGTGTGTGGATGTGTGCGTGTGTGCATGCACATACATAGCTTGCATTAGGTCTAAAATAAGTAGATATATGTATGTGCGTACATAACTTGATTTAGGTCTAAAACATTGAGAATCATCAGAATAATTGGCAGTTTTTACCTAGAATTGGCATCTCTCCTCTCTTAAGTCATCTGCTGCTTCTCTCTAATTTATCACTGCATCAAAATGGTGTAAGTGGTACTTGCCTTCAAGCCTGATGACCTAAGTTCAATCCCCAGAGTCCACATGGTAGAAAGAGAACTGACGCCCATTCTCTTTATCATCAGCTACAACCTCAACCCTTGTTCTTGTTGCTAAGATTCAGAGGCATGATATAGCCATACAAACCACAAACTCATATATGACCAGGCATGATCCGAGCTCTCAAGAGACTGAGGCAGGAAGATCATGAGTTTAAGGCCAGGCTAGGCTAAATATCAAGTCCCTATCTCTTAAAAACAAAATAAGACGTTGAATTAAATTTGTTAAGCTGGGCATTGTGATGCATGCCTTTAATCCCAGCACTTGGGAGGCAGAGGCAAGTGGATCTCTGTGAGTTTAAAGCCAGCCTGATCTACCTAGTGAGTTTCAGGACAACTGGGGCTACAGGAAAACCCAGTCTCAAAAAAATTTTCTTTTGTTCATTAAAAGCTTTTATTTTAAATGGGTTAATTTGCCTCTTTATTGACTGAATCCTAAAAGTTCCCTTCATCTAATGGGAAGCAGATATTACCCAGACTTGTGAAATGGAGCTGTTTTGTGTTGTTCCCCACCTGGTTTACATGGAGAACAGTTGACTCCCCTCTGCTTCAGCATGCTGCTCCAAGGCCTTTGCTCTTTATCCTCCCCTCAGCCTGGATCCCTCTTGTCCAGATGCTGTTGGCCCAAATGGCTCACTTCCTCATCCCCATCCTCCTTGACAGTCATCAGCCAGGTCTCCCCGCTGAAATCACAAGCCACAGTCCCCATGCACACTCCCTTCCCTCTGAATTGCTTTTTCTCCTTAGCACTCATAACATTAAAGATTTTACTCATACTGTGTTGGAGGATTAGCAAATGTAGCCCAGCATAGAATAGTGCCTGCCCGGTCTCCAGTAGACATTTCACAAAAATGTGAATGAGCAAAGGTGAGTTCAAAAATGACCCACGTTTCTGTGACTTCAATTCTGACTCCCTAGGCATCCTCGTGTACAGAGCCCACAGAATCATCGAGTCCTGCCAAGAAGCCTTCATCCTGCGCCTCTTCCGCCAGAAAAACAAGCGTGGCTTCATCAAAGCTTTCACAGACAATGCTGTGGCCTTCGACACGGGTTTTTGTCATGTGGAAAGAGTGATGAGGAACCTTTTTGTGAAGAAGCTCTATCTGTGGCCAAGGTAAGTAGCATCTGTGGGTCTTGTTTTTTGTCAGCAGAGAAGCTTTAACTTAGTTGCACTTTAATGCAGTAGGATAGAATGTCATGTGAAATTTGCTGTCCTGGGAGTTAAGTGCCGCTCTTTTTTTTTTTTTCTTTAATTACTTTTGTGTGTGCGTGTGCGCTTCGGTTTACGAGTACCAGTTGTATTTTTCTTTTATTTGGTTATGCCTTATTTCAGAAGTTAAGAAACTGCCTGTAAATGACCACATAGTAAATACTTGAGACCGTAGAGGCACAATTAACTCAGTTCTACTGATATGAACACAAAAGTAGGGCCAGTGAGAGGGCCCAGCAGAAAAGGGGCACGCCTCCAACCCTTGATGACCTGAGTTCACTCCTTGGGAACCACAGGGTAAAAGGAGAGAACTGACTTCCACAAGTCATCCTCCAAACCTCTGCGCACCCATGCACATGCATACACACACACACACACATGCACACACACAAATAAATGTTATTTCAGAAAGTGCAAAGGTTGAGGGGCTAGCAAGCTAGCTTGTCAGGTGAAGATGGCTTGTTCTCTGACCTCCATACATGAACTATGGCATGTGCATATACACACATGCACACAAGATAAACAAATGAAATCTTTAAAGCACTCTAAAGAGAACGTAAAGCAGCCATAGACAGTGGCCATGGCCACTCCATCCACTGTGCAAATAGGCCCTGGGTTGGGCCGGCCCCAGTTTGCCAGCCCTTCTTGTTTGAGTGATGCTTCTGTCCAGAGAGGCTCAATGTATTCTTAAAAGCTTTGCCAGTTTGCTTTCCCTTTTGTTCATAGCTGTTGAAGCTCTAGAAAAGATTTGAAAACTCTGTCCCCTTAGGTTCCATGTAGCAGTCCACTCATTTTTAGAGCAGCACAAGCCTGAGGTGGTAGAGATCCACGTGTCCATGACCCCTGCCATGCTGTCCATCCAGACAGCCATCCTGGACATCCTAAACGCATGTCTGAAGGAGCTAAAGGGCCACAACCCCTCCCTGGAAGTGGAAGATCTGTCACTGGAAAATGCTCTTGGAAAGCCCTTTGACAAGGTACTTCTCTCCCCTTCCCCCACTTTCCTCCTCGCCCCCTTTCTCCTCCCCTTCCGCTTCCACCTCCTTTCTCCCCCTTCCTCCTCCTCACCTTCTTCCTCCCCCTCCTCCTCTCTCCTCTTCCTTTCTCTTTTTTAACCTAGCTTGTTAGGTTGTCATTTTAAAGAATGCAAAGCATTTTAATATTCGCAATGTTCTTTGTAAGAATTTGCTGTTATTTTATCATTAAACTGGAAGTGGATTAAAGCGGAGCTGCTTTGGCTTACTGGAAAAGAGTAATTTGCAGTAGAATCTGTGGCTTGGCACATGAACATAGGTTTTACTTATCCAGTTTTGTAGTAAGTGAATATCTATCATCAAGAGGAGGCCAAATAATGGTTTTGCTCCAAAAAGACAGGTTTTGGATGTCTGTAGGTACAAGAGTTTTGTATAAGAATGCATCATGATTGTACAAAAGTGAATTTACCATATTTTTTGAATAAGAAATAATTTGGATGAATTTACATTATTGAGAATTGTGTTCTGTGTCAAAATTAATTCTGAACTGAGGAAATGGTATGTTTTCAGTTCAAGGACTTTGATTGGTATTTTTTCACCACAGCTTCATATCAAGTATATAAGTGTCAAGCCTGTAATGAATTATGGAACGAAGAAAACGCTCTTTTAAAAATTCTATGCAGCCTTTTTTTCCCTTAGAACATGCTACTGCCTTTTAAACTACATCAGTCTCCTTGTCATTGGGAATAATGCACGGTGATCGTAAAGAAGGGAAATTTAGCTTCTTATGTCTCAGTCTGTTCTAAAGTATTCTTACATAAAGCTAGTTTCATTTGTTCTGTATCTATTCCTCCATCTTAAAGTGTGTTATAATTTAGTGTGTGGTGATTAAAAAACAAAAACCTTCATGTTCTTTTAATAGAATGTATATGCCTTAGAAAGATAGAGCCAACTGCAGTCAACGCTGGTTTCTGTCCACTGTCCCCTGGCAGCATGTTTTAGATGTTTACGCATTAAACACATCTAAATATAGACAGAGTTTGCATCTTGGTAAAAAGAAAATGTAAGGTTTCATAGATCATTTAACAAAAGAGGCCTGTTGGTGTGTGGCTGGTTTGTCCAGGCTGGTTCTAGAACCTACCTGTTGCCCTGGAGTTGTCCTTAATAACACCTCATTGTTTCCACAGTGTCCCAGCTTGCTCATTCAGAGAACTGTACTTAGTACGAATTTGGCAGATGAGAGGTCATCGCTGATACTGTGTCTGTTCATAAGAACAAGTCGTTGGCTTTCTCTTGTTTATCAGGCCTTTTCTGTCTGACAGTGTGTGTGCACATGTTTGTGTGTGTACCACTGTGTATGGTGTGTGTGTGTGTGTGTGTGTATGTGTGTGATATGTGTACATGTGTGTGGATGTACATGCCCTTGCATGTGCAGAGGCCACAGAAGAGGATGTCAGGTGTCCTGCTCTATGACTTTCTGTCTTAGTCCCTTGAAACAGGGTCTCTCATTGAACCTAGAGCTGAACTGACAGCCTCAAGCCCCAGCATTCCTCTTGTCCCTACTCCTCAACAGCACTGGAGTTATAGGCACAGGCTCAGCTTTTCACATGGCTTCTAGGGATTTGAACTGAGATCCTCATGTCTGCATAGCGGGCACTTCTTACCCACTGAACCATCTCCCTGGCATAGTCCCCCCGACAGGAAAGTTAATAAGCATAAAGGGAGATTGACTCTATCTGGTCATAAAAATTGTATTAATAGGACACTGTCCATGAAGCTGGATAGATGGCTTAGTGGTTAAGAGTGCACAGTGCTCTTGCAGAAAACCAAAGTTTGATTCCAGCACCCACATCAGGTGGCTCACAACTGCCTGCAACTCCAGCTCCAGGCGATCTGATGCCTTCTTCTGGCCTTGGCAGGCATTGTACTCATGTGCACAAACCCACATTCAGACACATACATATAGACATTAATTAAAAACTAAAAATCATGCCAAGCGTGGTGGTGCACACCTTTAATCCCAGCACTTGGGAGGCAGAGGTGGGCGGATCTCTGTGAGTTCGAGGCCAGCCTGTCCACATAATGAGTTCCAGGCCAGCTGGGGCTACAGGGAGACCCTGTCTCAAAAAGACCGGAAAAAAAAAAAAAAAAAAAAAAAAACCTAAAAATCATTTTTTAAAAAATGACACTGTCCTAGCAGGGAAGACAGAGTAAAAGGGCTTTAGTTGGGCGGCTATGGGAGGTGCCATCTGGGAAGTGTGTATATAGATGAATAAGATTGGGATGTTCTGTGTGATATACACACACAAAAAATCAACAAATTTAAAAAATGAGTTATATTTGAGGAGGAAGCATAAAAATTTATGTCATGTTAAGTAGCAGAGGTGATAAACATTACCATTAAAATCTACCCGATGACTTTGTAGCCATATAAAGTTGCCAAGGATCCGAGTGCAACTAACCATGACTAGTAATAATCAGATACATACAGATTAGAGACACATGCGCCAACATCTAAGTGTTATTAGCAAAAACAATGAGTCTTTCTATAAGAAGCAGTATATTTTAAAATGAAATAGAGATCTTTTTAAAGGTTAAAACATCATCTCTGACTGCCAATATCTGAATGGCGAAATAACCAGGTGCAGCAAAAATACAGACATCCTAGTGATATCAGCTGTGAACCTAAAAATTTTATAGCCACTTTTGAAAGAGATGTATCTTTGCTCTGGAAATTGTTATTATGTTAAAACTATAATGAAATGCTTCTTCTAAAAAAATTATTTTTAATTTTTTTAAATGACACTGTCCTTGAGAAATTAAACATTAGGATTTGATGAACTGAAATTTTCTAGCCATTTCCATGGGAAATAATATTTGAGGAATTTTATTGTAGTAAAATATGCATAATACCATTTTTACATATTCAGTGAATAATCCTTATTGAAAGTATGATTCATATTAAAAAGAGTGATATTGAACAGATTTTAGCAGTACTAATGTTTACTCTCTTTCAGACAATCCGCCATTACCTAGACCCTTTGTGGCACCAGCTTGGAGCCAAGACTAAATCCTTGGTTCAGGACTTGAAGATATTAAGAACTTTGCTGCAGTATCTGTCTCAGTATGATTGTGTTACATTTCTCAGCCTTCTAGAATCTCTGAAAGCAACAGAGAAGGCCTTCGGTCAGAACTCAGGTGTGAGATAAAAATACTAACATTATTCTAGGAGCTAGTTTGCATGAAGTGTTAGTGGGGGGAGTTAGGTATGGATCGTGCTCTATTCAGCTGCATGTTATAAATTACATTTTATGTTCATAGCACAAGGATGTAGATTTTTATTGATAGCTAATGTTTCTGCCTACTTAACTTCTGTTCTGAGTAATAAATATTCATATCCATTCCCAGTCATTTTATTTCTAGAAAGAAAAAAAAAAAAAAGACTGTGTATAGTACAGACAGTCTCCAACTTAGAAATAGGTTGTGTTCTGGAAGTTTAGTTGTTAGGAATTTAAAATTCATTTTCCTCAGAGACATGAAGGGACGGGTCTCACCAGCTAGAATGTCAGGAACTTAAGGGATTTGTCTGGGAATGTACACATTCACAGTTGACTGCCACCCTGTTTTCAAACGCCCTTCCCTACTACCCAAGACCCTTGGCCCCTAGGGTCAAGACTTAATGCAATTGATAATATTTATTGCTTCTTCAGGACATTCTTAAGGAAGGAAGTTCCCGGCTGGGGATATAGCTCAGTGGTAGAGCACTTACCTAGTACACGTAGACCCTGGATACAATCCCCATATATAAACACACACAAAATTAGGGAGCTGCAAAAGGATGAGGGGAAAGAGCACACGGGCTGGTGGCATACCAAGGTGCCTCTGCCTTGGTTTATGCAAAGGCACCAGTGGATACCCACCACCATCACTAGAAATGTCAACACAGTCATCTTAGTATTATTATAGGAAAAGTTTTGCTATCACACACCCCATGAAAACTTCTTGGGGATTCCCAAAGGAGTCTCTGGGCCACACTTTGAAAACCACTCATCTAATCAAGCAGAAGCCCCTTACAACAATAAGAGAGAGTGAGGCATGGTTAGTCTGAAAGCAAGATGGCCACCAGTCCTAGGTGTAGGTCATGTGATCAGAGATTGTTTAAAATTACCACTAATTCACGTCTTTTTTAAAACCATTCCTATTAGGTTGGCTTTTTCTTGACGCTAGCACCTCCATGTTCATAAACGCTCGTGCAAGAGTTTATCGTACCCCAGATGCCAAAATGAGCAAAAAAGGGAAAACGTCTGAAAAGGTGGAGACTCAAGAAGGGCAAGGTACCCTGTGGCTTCGGTCTTCAGCTGTGTCTTCCACTTATGCTGGGGTGGAAGCACTTACCAAGTTAAAGTGTAATTTAAAAATCTTCAGCCATGTCTTAAGTGTATAGAGGTATACAGTAAGTGGTAATAGGATGCAGTGTAACCAGGTAGGTATCCATTGCCAGAGAATTCCAAATGACAGAGGCCAAATATCAATAGAGAGTATTCTTACTGCTATATAAGAACTTTTATAAATTTGCTTCTTTTGGGGGGCTGGAAAGATGGCTCAGTGGTTAAGAGCACTGGGTGCTCTTGCAGAGGACCCAGGTTCAGTTCCCAGCACCCACATGGCAGCTAACAACCATCTGTAACTCCAGATACAGGAAATCTGATGGTCTCTTCTGACTCCAAGCATTGGAAGACACGGGTGCACTTACACATATGCAGGCAGTACACTCATACACATAAAATAAAAACGATAAAATATTTTTTAAAAATAAAAAATAAATTGCTTCTTTTTTAAAAATAAAATTTCAAATAATTTCTATTTTTAGCACTTAAAGTCTTAGTGAAGCATTTTAACAAACTTTCTAGCTCTTAAAGGGCATAAATATGTTAGAAAGAGATCGTTATAGTTTTATTCTGGGATCTATCTAGTAGGCGTTTTTTTAAAATGCCTTTTTTTTTAAAAGCATGGGATAGGAGAGGGTTAATGCTAGTTTTCTGCCTAGTTTAAAGATCTATTCAAAACTTAATGAGTTCATAATATGTTTGAATACTTACAGGAATAAAAAGAAATAAGTTGTTACTTGATTGCATTCATGTTCAGGATTGTGATAACCATAGGGCTATTGGAAATAATAAAGTCTGTCTTATTTTGTGGTACTGAGCATGTATAGTGTCATAAGTGATAGTTCACACCAAATCATCTCTATTGTCCGTGCACGTGACCTGTCTGGGTCATGTAACCTGTGTTGATGTGGGTTTGAAGCACATTTCAGTTGGACTGTCAGTAGGCCTTCTGAGGGAAGCCATTCCTATCTAGCATTATGAAGAAAGCTCAAGGAGATACTGGTGTTTTCTGTTGTATTAAAGGTCTCTGGAATATTTAATGGGTAGATATTATATAGAATGAGGTTATCTTTCATTTCTATACAGAAACAAAAAAGGAGCTGGTTCTAGAAAGCAACCCCAAATGGGAAGCACTGACTGAGGTGCTCAAAGAAATAGAAGCAGAAAACAAGGAGAGTGAAGCCCTTGGTGGTCCAGGTAGGAAAGGGAAGATGGCGACTAATCTGTGTTTGTTCTTTTAGCTTTCGTTTTTGTTTCTGTTTTTTGAGACAAGCTCTTGAATCAGCACAAATTGACCTTGAACTTGCCCTGTAGCTGAGGCTGTCCTTGAAGTCTTGATCCTCCTTCCTCCACCTTTCTAGTGCTGGGCTTACAGGTGGGTGCCACCACGCCCACTTGGTTAGCTGTGAAAGTAACTGACTGTTGTGTATGTAACACATGACTGGTAAATGTCTATGCACCTAAGATCCCAGGGGTCACTGCATCTTGTTTATTTATGGTGGTTTTCTTCAGGTTGAGTCACTGAATATTCATGAAGCACACTTTTCACTGGTTGGCTTCTGGAGACTTCTTCCTAAAGATTCAGCTAATCTCCATATGTGTTCACCAGGTTTTAAATCTGGAGTCCCTGAGGCGTTGGCTAATGGTTTTTCTGTTTTATATTTCAGCCAAATACCTTTCCAAAGAAGCTTAAACTCTCCTATTGACTGAGCCCTAGGAAAAAGAAAAACCTCCAAATTTTAGACTTTTTATCTTTAAACATGGGTGTGCTAGCAGATGAGCACAGAAGTTTAAAAATAAAACTACAGCAGGGCGTGGTGGCACCTCTTGGAGGAAGAGGCAGGGGAATCTCTGTGAGATTGAGGCCAGCCTGGTCTACATAGTGTGTTCCATGCCAGCTGGGGTTACAGGGAGCCCTGTCTCAAAAACATAAAAAATAAAAATAAATAAAAATAAAAAATAATGCTAGCTGTTTGAAAATACTGACTGAATCTTTGAATTCTGTAAAGCAATAAAGGCATACAGAGGGTGAAGGGGGAGGGCAGTGGGGAGGACAACTGAGAACAAAGTATAATGACAAAAAAGCATGAAAATGCCACAGTGAAACCAATCACTGTATACTAACCAAAAATATTAATTTTAAAAACAGCACTCAAGGGGCTAGAGAGATGGCTCCATGGTTAAGAGCACTTGCTGCTCTTTCAAGTTCAATTCCCAGCACCCATGTTGGAAGGCTCAAAACCACCTGTACCCCCAGTTCTAGAGGATCCAGCACCCTCTTCTGGCCTCACAGGCATGCATATACACACACAGAGACACATAAATAAAATAAATCTTTTAGAAAAAGAGGGTACTCAACCCTTATATTGGTAAATATACTAGTGATGTTACCCAGAACTTAAGACCCAGAGTCATGGTGCTCACTGTAGAAAAAGTGAAAAGGATTTTATAAAGAGAAGAGAAAAACTTTTCCTCTACCAACTGATATTGATATTGGTATATTTCCTTCTAGGTTTCTTTCATATATTTTCTATTTCACATCATTAAAGTCATTTGAGTGTGTCCAATGTGCGACTAGTATGCAGCCAAGAATAGTTGTGAATGTGGTCCAACACAAAAGCATAAACGTAAAACATTGGGAGGCTCCTGATGGCTCTGGGGGTAAAGGCATTTGCTGCCAAACCTGGCGACCTGGGTTTACTCCCCAGACACCATATGATGGATAGAGAATTGACTCCTGAAAGTTGCCCTCTGAACACCACATGCACACTCATGCACCCATACACAATGAATTAATAAATAATAAATAAATGTAATAAAAAAACTTTTTAAATTGAAAAAAAGCATGAGGGGTGGGTTTTTGCAATTTTTTTTTTGTAACTTGATTGCATGGTTCTCAAACATGGACTTTGTAGGACATCAGGTCCTAATGTCAGAAGATCTGACACCCCTGCCAGGACACAGAATTTAATAGGACAGATGGTATTGATAATCTTAAAGTTTATTTTGTTCTTGAAACAAGGCCTTCCTTTGTAGCCCTGGCTACCCTGGAACCCTGCTGTGTGGATCAGGATGGCTGTGAATTTGGGGCAGTCTTCCTGCCCCTCCCTCCTGAATGCTGGAATTATTGGTGTGTGCTGTGACACCTGACCTGAACATCTTCAGGCACATCACTGCACTGATTTCTATAGAATTCTTTTCAGTTGTCACTCAGCTAACTGTAGTTGGAAATTCCATGTATTTTTGTGTCTGTATGCATATTTTACATATATACATAGCAATTTGAGAAAATTTTCTAAACTTTGGTATTTAGTAAGTACCGTATTTTCCCAGATGTGTTTCTGGGGATTGTCTTAGTTGCCCCAGCCAACTTAAATTGCTCCTTAGACAGTAAGGATAGTTGCCTTTACCAGAGTCGATTTTTGTCTTCAGTGTTTTTAATACAGCTTTTATTATTATAAAATCAGTCTTTATACAATCATCTCTCAGAATTCCTCCATTGCTTTTAAGTCTAAAAAATTACCTCCATCCAGAGCATGAGAAGAGTCTGTCCTTTTGTGTGATTTAAGATTTAACATTTGACTCTATAATCCATTTGGAATTTATTTTGGCTTGTAAGATCCTCTGAAAAAGTATTAATTAAATTGAGACCTCATTAACGCCTTTATTATACCATGGACGCCAGTAGACTGGGTGGCTCTGGCTTCAGCCTACCTCATGATTTAAGCACCGCTGCCCGCAGGAGGGTACAATTTGGCCCCAAGTCCCTTTTAAACAGTTTGTAAATTAGGCTCTTTAGCAGGGCTGGATGTCTTCCCGTAGAAGGAGCTGGGGGACCCAAACGGGCGGAGGGAAGAGTGAGGAAGCCAGCCTGACCTATCTTCTCCTTGCAGGTCAAGTGCTGATCTGCGCAAGCGACGACCGCACGTGCTCCCAGCTGAGAGACTATCTGACTGCAGGTGCCGAAGCCTTCCTACTGCGGCTCTACAGGAAGACCTTCGAGAAGGACAGCAAAGCTGAAGAGGTGTGGATGAAGTTTAGAAAGGAGGACGGTACAAGGAGAACTGTGAAATCCAACAAGAGACCCAAAGATGCCCCAAACAAACGGGCTTCTACCAAGGAAAGGACTCTCAAAAGGAAAAAGCGAAAGCTGACTCTAACGCAAATGATGGGGACCACTGAAGACCCGCCAGAGGAAGGGGATGCCGACCAGGGACATCACAGAGAAATAAGCAGCAGCCCTGAGAGCTGCCTGGGAGAAATTAAGCATGAAGAGTTTGATTTAAATTTGTCATCTGACGCAGCTTATGGCATCCTGAAAGAGCCCCTGACTATTATCCACCCGCTCCTGGGTTGCAGTGACCCCTATGCCCTGACAAGGGTACTGCATGAAGTGGAGCCCAGATACGTGGTACTGTACGATGCGGAGCTCACCTTCGTAAGGCAGCTGGAAATCTACAGGGCCAGTAGGCCAGGGAAACCCCTGAGGCAAGTCAGTGCTGATTAACCTTTTTCTCCAGGCTTTTGGTTTGACAATTCTGTAGGACTTAATACAGAAACGTATCTGGCTTGCCTGTTAATTTCCTTACCTATAACATAAGGTTGAGGGGAGGGGGGTGTGCTTCCTAGGCTGCCTAGAGAACTGATATTTGTAGCTCCTGGCTCTTATCTGTGCCATATTCTGTGTGTGTGTATGTGTGTGTGTGTAGCTTATGGGGTGCTGCATCTGAAAAAGTCTGGAGAATTTAGAACAACCTGTGTAATCCCTAAAGTTAAAATACTGATGACTTAGCTAAATATGTTTTTGAGAATTTTAGACATGCACACAATGTGTTTTGATCAAATCCACCCCCCTTTCCTTCTCCTCCAACTCTCCCTCATCCTTCCTTTCCCTCCAACTCGCCCTCTGTCCTCACCACCACTTTCCCCTCACAGCTTCATGTGTTCTTTTTCTTTTTTTAAACAAGAGTCTATTTAGTGCTTCCTATATGTGCATGGGTATAGAGCCACCCACTGGTGATGGGTAGCCTCTCGGGAGCTGCATCCCTGAAGAACATAGTTTTAATCTTCTAAAACGCTTTGTACTTTTTTTTACTTTTTTGGCATTTTTTATTTATTTATGGGTGCCTGTGCCACGTAGTACATATGGAGGTCAGAGGACAATTTGTAAGAATCAGTTCTCCTCTTCCAGCTTTATGTGGATTCAGGGGATCAGGCTCAGGTCAGGCTTGGCAGTAAGCACATTTACCCGTTGAGCCATCTCACTGGCCCACATCTGATAAATTTTAAGAAGTGACTCTAAATTTCATCTTCATAAACTAAAGTGTTTGGGAGAATTACTATACCAAGTTTTCTTAGGTTTCAAGAAATATCTATTGAAAAATCTACCGATCTATCAGATGAGAAAGTGATGCCTCCCAGAGAATATGGTGTTCTTTCTCTCCAGCTTAGCTGAGGGGAAATAAACAGCAAAGTTTAGTATCCTGAACTCAGTCTGAACCAGAAGCAGAGCCAAGAGAAAGCTTTCTAGCAGCCTGATGAAGGCAGCCTCTTAGAGCAGAGGTGGGTGGAGGAGCTGGGTCAGAAGCAGTACATACAGACCGGGTGAGACCACCACAAGCTGGTAAACTGCCCATACCTGCTGTCCATCAGCTCTGAAGATAGCTTCCATGCACTAGTCTTTCTTACCCAAGAACAGAGCATTGTACTGTTTGAAATCAGTGTCAAGAGCAGAAGGAACCTAGGAATTCCACTGTCAATAGAAAACTGAGGCCCAGAAATGGCAAAAGACTTGGCTTCAGCCATATGGCATATCCGTGGGCCAGCCGAGTTCTCCAGACTCACCCAGGGAGGTGTTTAATTCAGCCTCTGCCACAAATGAGACAAAAAGCAAGCCCTTCAAAGGCAAGTACACCAAATGATTTTTTAGATTCCTGATACCGTCCATATGTCCTCCTGTCCGTGTATTTATATAAAATGTCTATGACTCCATTCTGTTGAGACATGAACAAAAAGGAGTGGAGAAAGTACTGTGAAGTTAAAGGTCATATGGATCTCATTTGTTCATTTTAGACTGACATTGAACTTTCATAAGCTGGTTCTAATGACTACTATCCAACTTTTAAATGATTCTTTGGCAGAGGTGCAAAGAAAAAAAGGAAAAAAGAAGCCTCTAAGAGATTTTGTATTTTTTATTTGTTTATGGTTATGAGGGAAGACTTATTCTATCCCTCTAGTTATATTTCAGTATTTACCTAAACTCTGTTCCTCCTTTTATTGAAAAGAAAAAGAAACCTCATTCGGTAACAAGACCTTTGCCAGGTGGGGTTTAAGCAGCTCAGTTTGAGTAATTGTGCAGTGAGTGGAACATTTTATTCTTAGTCAAATATTTGTTACTTGAGCATTCGAGGCTGCTGACTTCAAATGCTCTGTGGTACCCTCCCAGGGATTAAAAATTACATTTTTGCAATCTAAAAGAGTTCTGTCTTAACCTGCAGGGTTTACTTTCTAATATATGGAGGTTCCACGGAAGAACAGCGCTATCTGACTGCTCTGCGGAAAGAAAAGGAAGCTTTTGAAAAACTCATAAGGTGAGACAGAGGTGGTCAGCGTGAAAGGCTCACGAAAGGCCTTTCAAGGCCAGAGGCTTCCCTTGTGGGAGGCATATCTGACTGCCTCAGGAAGAGAGGGGAGGAAGATGGGAGGGGACCAATCATTCCTGGGACATGCCTCCTACATGCTTCCTTTTTAATCTCTCTCCCGCTCTCCTGACACCTCTGGTTGTTGGATAGGGCTTTAGTTAGTAGAGTTCAGGTTTTATCCCTTACCTGGAATCTTGAAAACAAAATGTTTCAAATTTCAGATTTTTTTTTGTAATACTTTTGTATATGTGATAAGATATGCTAGTGATGGGACCCAGTTATAAACATGAAATTCATTTAAATTTCTTACACACATGACCTGAAGGTCACTGGCTTCATCTTGTTACTGCACCTGCATATAAGATATAACCCATTCATTACAAGGTCAGGTGTGGAATTTTTCCATGTGTTTTATCATGTTGGCAAGTCAAAAGGTTTAGATTTTGTAGCATTTTGAATTTTAGATTTTCAGATTACGGATGCCCAGCCTGTATCAGAAATGTGATAAGGGAAACTGCTCTTTGTTTATGAAAAAAATATCATATACAACAGCAGACATACAACAAAACCACTTCTCTAAGAGACAAATTCTTAAACCACCTCCTCTGTACCTTGTACACAAGAGTCCACCCTTTTAAAAAACTTCCCCCCTCATAAAATCTCTTATCGGTAGATGGGTGGCTACTTTACCAAGAAATACTTTTATTCCTCTCCCACAACCCCCAGTTCCAACATCTTCACTAGAATCACTGTAGGATAGTAGTTTTAAAGGTGTACTGCTTTTCTGAACATATGTATATGTTTTTGAGAATGGATATCTATCACATTTCCCATCAGTTTAAGAAAAGGACTCTGCTTATGAGCTGGTCCCAAACTGGCTGTCTGCCTCTGACCCCTAAAAGCATCCAAGAAATCTGATGGCCACTCACAGGAGGAGTCAGGGAGATTGCAGTGCTCCTGGACAGTGGACCAGATGATACAAGGGGCCTTAGAATGTAGGGCTACACCAGGCCTCATGGAACTAAGCCAGAGAGAGCCTAGACCAGAGAAAAAGATGGCCTGCACTGGGCATAGCTGGGTCTCCAACACTGCCTTTCCGTGCCTTGGATTTAGGTAATGTACAGTGGCAGCCAGCCAGGCGCAGAGCTAAACAGAATCTCAGAGTGAACAGCCATCCTACTGGGCTGGCTGTGGATGCTTAGCATATGTGTGAAGTATATGTCTACCCAGGTTAGTCCAGAATAGAACTTTATAGAAATAGGTCTTGGGTCCCTCTGAAGGGGTTCACCATGGTATGTGGACAGTACCCACCCTTCATATCGCCCAGAACCATAGTGTTGTTAGTTCTCTCAGCCTATGGAAATGGATTCTCTACCAATTTGCTCTGTGCGATTACTTATATTGTGTATTGTATGTATATATATATATAAAATATTTCAGAATCAGTGTTATAATGAGCCAATTAGCATAATCGTCTTCTAGACCTTCAGCCCCCAAGTTTCTAACAGTGATGAGATACTGAGCATCTAGTACATACCAGGCCCAGTGCTAATATTAAAGTGTTGTGGTCAGTGTGGTACAGAAAAGCCCTTTCCTTCCCAAAGCATAGCCTTTAGACCAAGGTTCTAATGACTTTAAATGCTATAAACAGCGGGCAGAGTGCTGCTGACTGCAAAAGGGAAGGAACAAGGTGTACAGTAGGAGAGGGCTAAACAGTAGGGAACAGCTTTATGTAGTTGAAAAACTTATGGGAACTGCAGGCAGATGGGGTGGAAAAGGGTCCAGAGGTGTGGGAGGCCCCATGAGCCTTTAGAATTCTGAGGCAGCACCGCATGCATTCTAAGTGGGGATGTGGCATAAGTATACTTTTAAAGGCTTTCTCTGACAAGGAAACTAGGAGATGCAGTTGTCCAGTGGGAGACGGTGGCAGCTAAGATTAGGTTAATGGAGACAAGGGGACAGATGGAAGAGACACTTATGAGATAGTGTCAGAGAAGCAGTGACTCTAGGTGTGGGCCAGAACTTCCCAGAAGAAGAAACTATTTTTCCAGCATTTTTAAATCATCTTTAAACTTTTCCCTGATTAAAGTAATCATCACCAAATTACAATGAACAACTAGAACTAAAGAATTCTAATTAAGTTGTTGGTTTTCATATGTCAGGGGATCCTTAAGACCTATCTTAGTGATCTTCTTGGAAGGATTCAAGTGAATTGGAAAGAATTGTGGTTTATTAGCAAAACAACACACATTAAAATCAGAAAGGGAAAAGGCCCAGGGAAGGAAGAAGTACAGGAAAAGCAGGTGTAAGCTTCCAGATGGCCTACCTGGGTAGAATCATAGAAATGCACTTAACTCCCACCAGCCACGTGCCTTAGCACTCACAGAACGCCGACAACAGAGGAACTCACCCAAGCCTTGATGTCCACAGTTTTCACTGAGGTTCAGTCACATAGATACAGAGCACCCACATGACTGACTCCAGCAGCCCTGCCAGAGCAAAATCAGGTGTTCACCACACACTGTTAGCATAAGCTGATCAAGCTCAAAGCCTCAGGCACACCAAAACCCTCCTAGCAGCAGAGTATTCACAGGCTCATAGCTCATCCCTCTGGAGCTGGCCATGGCCTAGTTCCGCAAACAGACCTTTCTTGGCAATGTGCAGAGCTTGAACAACTGCAGTCTGCTCAGCTAACCCTTTCCCACACCGTGTTGTCACAGAGGAGTTGGTAAACCGTGAGAAGGGTGTCACCTGAGACGGTGAGCTTTGTGCTCTAGACTTTTATGACTCAGCTGCCTCTTCTCTATTCCATGGGATATAGGGGGTGAGGGGGGGTTCTCATTAAGAAAGGGGACCTGGAATAGATAGCAGTATAGTATTGTGGAGCCCTCCTGTATAATACTGTGCAGTAGAGTACTGTGGAGCACTCCTGGTTTGTAGAGGAGGTATAGCTCATTGCTGGAGGACCTTCAGAACATGTGTGTATTCTAGGTTCAGTCCCCAGCCCCTACAAAGAAATACACATCCATTTTAATGGAATTTTACCTAAAATTCTGGCCTCTTTTTTTTTTTTTTTTCCTAAACTCAGTGGTGATTGCCTCTTATTATTGATAGGATCTTCCACTTGACACAGTAATCAGATTGTTATACTGTTTAGAGTCCGAAGATACTAACTTTCCCAGAAGACTGGGGGAATTTGAGTGGTGTTTGTTTTTAAAAAAAACAAAGCAATGTTTGGGGTACATGGCCAAAAGGCATTTGGACTACGCCTAAGGGTAGGGAAAAATTTACTATGAGATTAAGATAAGGGGCATTTGCCAAGACCTCCATGGGTGATGTCCTAAGACAAAAGCCGGGCTGCTGTTTCAACAACCAGAGAGGAATGAGCCAGGTAGACTGGAAGCCAACAAGGACTGCTTAGCCGGATTGGAGATCAGTAGATTACAGGAAAAACGTGAAGAGAAAACAGCTCTCATTGCTGCAGAATGGGAATAAAATGCTCCCTGGGTGGACAGTCAGCACGTCCTCTTGAGTCAGTCACCCACCCACAAAGGGAAGGGTAAAGTTACTTGAGATTTTTGCTGCTAGAAAATCAAATTAAGCCATGTGAAGAGACTTCTTCCAGAGCACCTCCTTCCTACATCACCGTGTTATAGAAGCTGTTCAGACACCACTGATTGCAACTTTGAGGGCAAACCTGAGCTACGTCTTAAGGAAATAAACAATCACTGAAAATATTAAAGCAAAAATAGAAAGCCTCAGTATTTGAGGGTATGATTAAGCAGAAATAGAAATGTGGGGTTTTTTAATTATTTTGTGTCTGTCACATAGAATAATTTCGACAGTTACCTTAACTGGTAAAAGCAAGGGACTAGATATTTCTAATGCTGAGAACTTAGTGTTAATTTGGTTAGGCAGACTTGTTTTCTTTATAGTCCACATTTTATTTATGGAATGTGTCTTTTCTCTGAAATTGAAATAGGTGGAAACTTTTGAAAGCAAAATCTTGAACTTTTTAATATAATCCTGGATAGTCGGGGCAGGGGTGGTCTGGTAGTAATAACAACTAATATTATGCAGCGGTTTGGATGCAGGCACTGCTCCAACTGCCTATGTGTGTCTTGTAATCCTCATGACAGTCTTTCGAGGTAGATTTTATATCATCTCCATTTTAGAGATGAAAAACATGAGACAGGAAGCCACTGAACAACTCAAGGTCACACCACCTGTGCGTGGCTTCAGATTGCGCACTGAGGAGCCAGGCTTTCCACTCCTGACTCTGCTGTTCCATCCTTCACAGATGCAGACTGATGGGGAAGCTGGGATGGCCCATGGGTGAAATAGGTAGAAAATAGAGAAGAAACAAGCATGTTAGAGAAAAACAAATTGAGAAGCAGCAGTGCTCTTGGATGGTTTGCTCTTTGTCCCAACTAGGGTGCCTTGGGTACATCTGGGGAGCATTGCCAGCGCCACTGCCAGGCAGGAGTTTTCAACACAGAGCCGTTGATCCTGCCCTTCAGGATGCTGAGGAAAACAACCAGAGCCCTTGTCCATCCCTGTGATCTGCTCTAACAGCGCTACACTTGTAGGTTGCTTCACACAGTGTAGAATTTAAAGTTAACAGTTTCTAGATGGTAGATTGCCTATCTGGCATGCCAGAGGTCCCGGGTTTGAGTTTTGGCACACATGTGCACACACAAATTGTAACTTCTCTTCTTTCATAGTATCTTAAGTGGAATCCTGCTCTAAAGCATCATGTATGCAGAGTGGCTAAAGACTTGGTCCTTCTGATTTCATCTCCTTCATAAGGAAATCCTTGTTCTATCCTTGCAGAAATTAGTTCCTCTTGATGGTTCCTCCTGTCTTCCTGTCTTCCCTTCCCCAGTCTCTCACTGCAGTTCTGTCCTGTGTGTTTGTTCACAATTGCCTTGTTTCTTTAACTCCACTGCAAGCCCAAGGAGGAAGAGGACCGACATTTTTCCTGTCGCAGTAGGCACAGATGAGACACATGGTAGCTGCAGCCTTGTGAATTAAGTATAACAAACCTGATGGTTCGAAAGTAAAACTGCAGCACAACCAGCTTACTCTGTGATTATTGAGAGACTTACCTTGATGATTTGTAGCTCTTAGCTAGAATGGCATGGGCCTCCGGACTGCCCAGGGATGAGACCCCTACTGAGCTTCCTCAAAGGTAGAAGTATCGTATCATTATTTTTAAAAATTCATATTATGTTTATTTATGTATATTTATTTATTGAGAGAGGGGGAGGGGGGGAGAGAGAGAGAGAGAGAGCATGCACACACGTGAGAGGTCAGAGGACAAAGGAAGTCAGTTCTCGTTCCACCATGTTGGGTCATCAGGCTGGTGGCAAGTACTTTTACCCACTGAGCCATCTCACAGGCCCAATGATCACGTTTATATCCAGAACACATGGAACTCTCCATAAATGCTTCTAAGCAAATGCACGAACGAGTAGTGACTGTGGCTCCCAGGTGTTTCTCAGGATGTTGGTTCTGTTTTAATCCCTGACAGAAATTTGACTTCTTGTATTAACCTTTGTTTTCCTTTAAAACTGAAGGCATTCAACGGGACCTCCCACCTGGAGATTTTTCAATCAATGTTCTATCATATCTGTGTTTTCGTTTTAATCATCAACCTTTAACCCTCCCTCTTTATGATAACCCTGAAAAATATTTGACTATAACTAATTTGTCTTTAAATAAAATTAACATAATAGCCTTACAACAGTCTCAAATAATCTCAGTAAGAACTTTTTTACATGCTTCTGCCTTTAAATATATACTAAAAAGAGCTTTTCATTTTAACTCTGGAGGATCAGGAAACAGGGCCCAGACTAGATACACCCTGCTTTAATTCTTCCTGTCTTTAAATATTTATTTCTAATATATTCCTTTTCCCACTACAGTCATGTGGCATAGGTGATCCTCCTGCCTCAGTCTCCCAGGTGCTGGGATTATGGGCATGTACCACCACTACCAGCATGTAGACCATTTTACGTACTAGGCCTTTCAGAAGATTAAAGTCTAGAATGTTAAAATCAGGCTGTATGTAAGATGTTTGCTCTCCTAGGGAAAAGGCTAGCATGGTTGTCCCTGAAGAACGAGAAGGCAGAGATGAGACCAACCTGGACTTAGCAAGAGGCACAACATCCACAAACACTCCTGCAGACACACGCAAAGCCGGTGAGTCCTACCTGGGGGCCCAGCACCCCTGTCACCTGTAGAGGAGGCTGTGAGGCCCCCAGAGTTACTTTTTTCTAAACAAACTTAAAAACAAAAATCAGGGACTGGAGAAGTGGTTCAGCTATTAAGAGCATGTACTAAACCAAAGAAACAGAAATCAGTTAGGAAGGGAACTCTAAAGTCTGCCCCCAAACTATAACCTCAGCTCTGCCATTTACTCACCAGTCTCCACTGAAGGAAGAGGCAGTGTCATCTGTGAATTCTAAGCACCCCAGCTTAGAATGAATGAGTTATGTTCCATTGCTGGGCTGTAATTGTCTGGTCGAGTCTCCAGATGTACTTTACTGAAGACGCACTGATGAAGCTGGCTAATTTCTTATCTTGCCCCAGGAGCCACTTTGGCTCCTGGAGTAGCTGCAGGTAGCTTCCCTTTCCACTGCTCGCTCAGGTTTGTGCATAGGTGGAACTTATTTAGGGCAGGTGCATGTCCTCCGTGTTCTGCATGTGTTTGCTGCTTCTTGGTGTCTGTCCAGATCCCAGGTGTCTGGCAGTCTCACTGCTGTGTAGCATTCCAACTTGCATGCCACCAAGACCTGCTGGATTCCAAGTGCACCCTGATCCAGAAGGAACCATTTCCAACTCCCCAGAGTCCTAGTCTCCCATAGAGGCCAACATCTGCTATCAACCAAGTAACATGAGAGAAATAATTAGACTGAGTTGATTTAGCCCCTGATGGGATCACGTACTCTTAGAGCACTGGGCCTGGGAATTTTAGTGACCTTCAGGAGAGCAGCTTTCATCCCCCCTCCCTTCCCTGTGATGCTCTGTCTCATTGCAGACTCTGAAGCAATGAAGCTAGCCATGGAATGAGACCTCTGAAACTATGAGCCAAAATAAATCCTTCCTCCTTAAGTTGTTTTATCAGGTATTTTGGCAGGTGCTGGCAAGATAGGGCCTGGCAAGATGGCTCCATAGTTAGAGGCACTTCTATGCAGGCTTGATGTCTTGAGTCCAATGCCCAGATCCCACAAAGTGGCAGGAGAGAACTAACTCCCAAGAGTTGTCCTCTGACCTCCATTCATGCGCTATGGTGCATGCATGTGCGTGTGCACAGACACAAATACAGACACACATATAATTAAAGAAAACATAACCTGAGATGCTTGTTGAAACTGTAATTTTTCAGGCTTCAAACTTAGAAATTCTGCTTTGGTGGGTGTAAGCAAGGGTCAGCATCTCAAGGGCATCTGGTGGAGAAGGTCCTTGGACCATACCCTGGAGACAGTGCTTCAGAACATCTGTGCCTTTTTGAAGTAGACTCTCAGCTCAGCTAGGCTGGTGACGTTGCATGAAAAACTACATAAGACGGTGTAGAAGGAAAGAGAGTCAAGCGTTCGGTACCACACAGAAGCCTCTGTGAATTTCCTATTGCTACTGTAACACAAACTTGAGTGAGGAGAGCACTCGCTCAATATGGAGATGAAAGCTGTGCAGCCAGCAAGAAAAGGGTAGGCAGCACAGTCTTCAGTGTCCCCCGCCATGGTCTACTTCCTTAACTAGGCTCTATCTCCCAGTAAAGGACAGCTATAGCTTCATCTGTGATGTAATCATTGATGAGGTCAGAGCCCTCATGGCCCAGTCACCTCAGTACATTTGCAAGACCAAGCTGTGGTTGAGCACATGAAGTTTTTGGAACATTTCATATCCAAGCCATAGCATCAGATGGTCCAGGATAACCTGACCTCAGAATGTTTACCCGAGTCCCATTGGCAAAGGCCTTGCTTACCATGTCAGGTAACCCTGCCATACAGAATTGGGGAACTGGCATCTCTGAGTGGGGCATAATTCTGCCTACAGTAGCCTTTGACACTTGAAAATGTTGTTGTTGAGGCTGAGAAGATGATCAGTGGCTCAGAGCATTTGCTGCACAACCATGTGAACCTGAGTTCAGAGTCCCAGCACTGGCTTTAAAAAGCCAGGCATGGCTGAAAGTGTCTATAACTTCAGTGCTGTGGCAGACAGGAGGATTGCTGGGACTTGCTGGCTGTCAGCCTAGCTCCAGATTCATTGAGACCCTGTTTCAAGGGAATAAGGTAGAGAGTGATAGAGCAGGACAGCAGCTGTCCTTCCTTCTCTGGCCTCCACATGTACACATAGACTCATCACGCCCACACGCACGAAGTTGTCCTTAAAACAGCACCATTATCTCCCCTGGGATTTTGTTGGAAATGCAGTCTCAGAGCCTTCAATCCCAGACCTGCTGAATACAGAGCCTGCTTCCTAGCATGACCCCAGGTGTGCACCTTAGAGTGCGAGAAGCTGCTCTTCCTGCCTCTTCCCTTTCCCCATCCCTGAGTCCACTGAGGTCATTCCACCAGCCCCTACTGCATATCAGGCTTTCTCTAGAACCTGGAGATTCTGTGCCCAGTACCAGTGTGCAGGAACCAGAGGGCAGGGCAGAGCACAGGTGTTGGTGTTTGTGAGTCACTGCAAGTCCCCCACTGCCAGCAGATTCCAGTTTCCCTGTTAGCTCTGTTTACTTTAGGGAAAACTACCTCAGCTTTCCTTCCAAATATTTTTTGAAACAATAGAAAAGTGTGGAATAATACCACACAGTACTACATAACCATCCATCCAAGGTTAAAAACAGAGGCATAGATTTTGAACCTATTCATAGTTCATCCTTGAGCCTTCTTCCTCAGCGACATAACTTAAAATACCACTTTAAAAAAAAAAAATAGGTGGCCAGGAACAGAATGGAACACAGCAGAGCATCGTGGTGGACATGCGTGAGTTTCGAAGCGAGCTCCCGTCCCTGATCCACCGCCGGGGCATTGACATAGAGCCGGTGACTCTGGAAGTGGGAGATTACATCCTGACACCCGAGATGTGCGTGGAGCGCAAGAGCATCAGTGACCTGATCGGCTCCCTCAACAACGGCCGGCTGTACAGCCAGTGCGTGTCCATGGCCCGCTACTACCAGCGGCCCGTGCTCCTCATCGAGTTCGACCCCAGCAAGCCCTTCTCACTCACGCCCCGCGGTGCCTTATTCCAGGAGATTTCCAGCAGCGACATCAGCTCTAAGCTCACGCTCCTCACGCTCCACTTCCCCAGGCTCCGGCTCCTCTGGTGTCCATCTCCCCACGCCACCGCAGAGCTGTTTGAGGAGCTCAAGCAGAACAAGCCCCAGCCCGACGCGGCCACGGCCATGGCCATCACAGCAGACTCAGAAGCCCTCCCCGAGTCGGAGAAGTACAACCCCGGGCCCCAAGACTTCTTGTTAAAAATGCCAGGGGTCAACGCCAAAAACTGCCGTTCCTTGATGAACCACGTGAAGAACATCGCAGAGTTGGCCACGCTGTCGCAGGAGCAGCTCACAAGCATCCTGGGGCACGCGGGAAACGCCAAGCAGCTCCATGACTTCCTTCACTCCTCCTACGCAGACGTGGTGTCTACTGGGAAAATGAGAAAGTGACCAGCACCTGGCCCTCCCTCTGGCCCAGCATCTCAGCTGCCCTTTGTCAGCCACAGGGGGCCCTTATTTATTTATTTGCACAGCAGTTCTTTCCTGATGCTTTTTAAGGATTGTGCATTGTGTCTCCAAGGTCTTGGGCCAGAAGCCTGGATTCCTTCCCCAGTCGTGCTGAGGTGTCTTCCTGCCTTTCCTGGCCTGCTCCCTCCCCTCTGTGCCAGGCTTTCTGTATCCATTTTTAAATAAGGTGATGTAGGATGAGGCAGAGCTGCCAGTGTATATTGCAGGCCCCCACAAAGGAAGCAGAAGGTCGTGTTTGCCACATGGCCTGGTAAAACACACTAAAACACACTGTGGAGACCATACTGCTATCTCCACAGGGCCCCATGGACCCTGAGAAGGGAGATCTGTGTTCCTTACCAGCTTCCTCCACCCATGTTCCTCAGCTTCATCTCTAACTCACAGGGATGCCCTGCTACTAATTTGAGACATTTCCTCCAGAACTGGTCAACTAGTCTCCTGATTGCATACATGTACATAGCATGTTGTAACTTGATTGTTCCAAACCAATGTTTTTAAACACATAAATGAATTGATGATCTACAAGATTTGATGATGTGATGGAGGAGTCTCAGTTTTTACACTGTTACACCTCCAAAATCCCCAGACATCCCCCTGCCCCAGCACTCTTCCCTGGTGTTAGACACCACCAGCACCCTGAAGCACGCTGCCCTCTCTGTCCACTGCCCATGTCCCTGTGCTCACCACATCTCTTTCCCTGGTGAGGATTCATTGTGAGCAAAGGAGGGGCCCACATGCTTTCTAGGTTTCAGTTTCCCCCTTTCCAGTTAAAGAATTGTACATACATAGATTGACACAGAACACATAAAAATTCAGAAGAAATACTTAGATACTTACAAACCCGTGAACTGATCTCATGGTTGATTTAGGTGGCTTTTCGCTGAAATTAATGCAAGTGATTCATAGCATCTTCATCACATTTTTAAACTGTGATATATAAATATTAATTTTAGCTATTCATGTGTTTAGTAATGAGCAGTACATTTCCTACCTCAAGAGCTGATACAGACAATTCTCCAGCCTCACTACACAGTTGAGTGTCCCATCCCATCAGCTGTCCTTTGGTGTGTCATGCTGAACTGGTAGAAAGTGGACCCAGTAGCAAAATGTCATCTTCAACTTTTGCAAAAGCACTTTCAACATTTCCTGTTGGCATCTTGATTTATTGGTAATTAACAGTACAGTTGTCCCTCAGTATCCATGGGGGGATTGATCCCAGGACCCTCCAATGGTAGCAAAGTCTATGGATGCCACAGTCTTATATAAAACAGCATAGTATTTGCTTGTGACCTCTGCCCAGCCTCCTTTTGACTTCAGACTGTCTCTAGATGGACTGATGCCATGAAAGTGATGTGCTACTCTGCATTGTGTAGGCAATAATGACAAAAATAATGTTCGGTACAGATACATTTGTGTCCTCAAATATTTCTAGTCCTTTGTTGGTTTCTTATTTGGTTATGGAAGACTGATGGGAGTAGAGGGATCCTGCATTCTCTACAAGGGTACTTCAGAAATGAATTGAGGGTGTTAAGAACCACTGAGTTATCATAGAGTTTTATATGGTGATATAGAAAATGGGGTTAAGATAAAAAATTAAGATGGGATAAAGATTTGAACTGCTAGTTTTTCGATAATTATAGCTGCCATTTACCTGAGTGCTTGTCTTATCTGTTTTGTTTTGTTTTTTAATTCACAATTTACCATAAAAGAGAGGTGGTTGATTTGCATTTTACAATAAGGGAATTGAGATTTAGGAGAAATTAAAAACTTGCCCATGTTCACCTGGTGGTGAATGGAAAAGCTTGCATTTCATTCAAGATATTTATACTTCTGAAGCCATTATTTCAACTTTATTTCCAACTCATTCATTTGACTCATGATAGCTGGTGGTCTGCATGCACAGTATGAGCACAAGACTCTAAAAGTATTAAACAAGGGAAGAGCAGGGTTTCCCTGCATGTTCATCTAGGAGACAGAGTCCCTACTGAGGACAAGCAGTGACAACAGGGTTATAACCTGCAGGTAGCAGAGCTTCCATCACGTTATGTCCCTCATTTAAGATCTGGATGTGCAGTGTCAGCCGCTTCCCAGCTCAAAGTCCATGTTTGCTGTGAAAAGGATCTACTAACTTGTTCCTGTTCTACAATACATATCTATATATATGTATGTGTATATATATATATATTTCTAGAATGGAACACAGAACTCTTGAATGATTGATGTTAACATTCACATTCTTGTTTTACTGAAGAGTTCATTAGTGGTTCATAGCATATTAAAATGGACATGCTGCTTCTGCCTGTGGTATACAGTTACTTTGGTGTAATTCCGCCTCCCTTTTTTTGTTGTTGTTTTGTTACAAAAACAAAAATCTTGGCATAGCAGGAGCTGTGATGGAAGTTTCATTCCACATTAAGTTTCCAAAACTAAGCTCTTCCCTAAGCCATAATTTTAAACATCCTGTGTTATCTAGTGCAGCAGAGCTAAATCTTCAACATGCTGACTTCCAATATCCCTCAGCTCCCACAGAGCTGTTTGCCATGCTGCCTGTGGGACGTGAGAGCAGGCACACCATCTCGGATGTGCTTGGACATGACTGATCATTTCTAATGGACTCTAAACGGTCATTTCAGGAGACAGACTCACTGCCTCTTCCTCCACAGACTGTTTTTTGTATTTCCAGTTGTGGAAAGCCTTCAGTGTATCCATCAACTGTTTACTTTTTTCAGGTTTTTATTTACACATTTTTACAATCTAAGAATCTAAACTGGTCATGAATGAAGCTGCAGGATTAAAGTCTGACTTTATTTGCTTGCGGCACTTGCTACCTTTGTTTTTTTATTCAAAGTCCTAAGTATCCAATTTACTGATGAGTGCCTGGGTAGCTTTTTTAAGAACCTTTAAAAGCTAGGTCAACATTATTTATTTTACAAGTGGTTTGCATACAAATTTGAACATAAAAATTGTCATGAGAAATTATCCTCCAATTTGCTTGCTTAAATTCTAGAGCCTTTCAATATTTCTTAAAAGTCTACAAGGAGCTAATTGTGCTTAATAGTGGCCATCAGCACTGTGCTCGGCAGTAATGACTGTCCCTTTGGTGAGTGCTCAGTAGACTGTAGGCCTGCTTGAGTGCTTCTGGGATGTGAGTCCCCAGCTCTCAAGAGACTGGAAATGATCATCTCATCCACCCCGCCCATCAGGTCCTAAAGGGTGAAGTCTGGATTTGAGTGCTTTGAGATGCAGGTGCTCAGTGTTGATAAAGGGCTCTGGCTTGAGGAAGTTGGGTGGGGTGGGGAACAGGTGTCACAAACTGGCATTTGCTTTTGTTTTTCCCGCGGAATTTAATTTCACTTTGCTTCAGAGAACTTCCTTAGGGAAATTCTCTATAATTTAACTTAGTAAAGTCCTATTAGAAGAATTTTAGGAAAATTCTTCTATAAACATAGCTAGTCTTTGACATGAATTGTCACTTTCCTGTATTATTTTCCTCTCATCTTCACGTGGAGCTACTTCCTGTCCCATTCTGAACTTCAGCGTTTAATTGCCCATCTTTATCAACAGGTAACTGGTGACCTGTATGGCTGTGCTGTTGGAGGGCTTGGGGGTTGTTTGGTTTGTTTTGTGTATTTATGATTGTGTAAACCAATATTTAGATGGGCAGGAAGGAGGTAAAAATGAAATATGTCTATCTGTAATAGGTGTGCTGTCTATTTGATATCTTCAGTCGTTTCATAGGCAAAGCAAAAATAGCAATGTCAGTAAGTATTTAAATTTCAAGAATGAGTTTTTCATTAAGCAGAATAAATGAGAAAAGCTGTCAGAGTCCCTGCTGCTGCTCTCTGCCTCCCTGGTCACCCACGTTCTCCATCCTCCATGTTTTTTCTTGGTTGCTTTTCCCTTTACATTCTGTGTTGTTTCCTTAAGGAAGGGGGGGATGCAGTTTTCCTTTGGAAGTATCGATGTGCTGATAACAAGTACATGGTGAGTCCCGGGCCCAGGCATTGAAACAAAAGGGCCGTTTCCTGCCACGTGTATTTTTGTTCCTTTTAACACAAAAGTTGGAAGAAGTAAATTGTCCTTTTGATACATCTGGAATTTGTTGTAATTTCTTAAACAAGTTTAATTATTAGTCTCCGAGTTGGTCGTCATGGTGATTTCCTTCTTGCCTCTGCTTTAAACGTGGATGTGTAGCCCTTTTTAATGGCCTGTGAGACTGGTTATTTTTCAGTGTTCTACTGTCTAAATAAAGACTGGCAAATTGACGAACCTTTTCTTAGCAACAGTACTGTGTTTATTGAGCACTTCTACATTATCTCATTTAATCCTTATCATTTAACCCCCACCACTGAGTCGTGATGGTATCCTTGTTTAGCCCTCTTTCACAGGGAAGAAGCTGAGGCTGGAGTGCGTAAGCAGTTTGTCCAAGGTCATCCAGGAGTTATTCATGAGACCATGGTTTGACTTCAGAGCCCATCATGAAACAGGGAGTTGGGGGCTGGTCTAGGAAGGGACAGGTTATGGAAGATGAGTGTGTGTCTGTCCATGTTCACATCCATAGCTCCAAAAACGATAAAGGGAAAAGCAGATGGACTCGTTTCTTTCCTCAGCTAATAGTGCAAAGATCGAGTGTGCAGAGCTGGGTGATGGGTCAAAGAGTAGTGAGACCCATTTCTATGCAGAGCATCCTGCTCCCTCTGACTTTCTAGGGCTGAGTACCCTCAGCTGCCTCATCAGGAAGGCTGTTCTGCAGAATTTTTTTTTTTCAAATAGAGGTTTTTCTAAATGTGGGGGTGCTTCCATATAATCCAACACCACCAGCACTGTGGAGCTGAGGCAGGAGGATGGCCAGCCTGGGCTGCACATGCAGAGAGGTTAACTTGTAGAAAAGTCATGGCAGTATGAGTGATTCCTGCCCAGGAACGCTGCAAAGGTCATTGCCTGTGATGCGTTTATTTCTGCATGCCTTTGACAGGCCAGCTGCATAAATCCCCAGCTCCTTGATTTGTTTCTAAATGAGTCTTCACAGCTTCATGCTTTCCTCATTAATTCAAGTCACATAAAAACCGGGGCTGGGGAGATGGCTTTAGTGAATGAGAGCATTTGCCATGCCAGCAAGAGGACCTGAGTTCAAATTCCCAGCATGCATGTCAAAGCTGGGCATGAATGTGTGCATGTACCTTCAGTGTGGAAGTGGAGACAGTAGGATCTTGGGAGCTCACTAGTCAGCCAGCCTACCAGAACTAGTAAGCTTCAGCTTCATGAGACACCGTGTCTCAAAAACTAAGGTAAAGGATTGGAGATTTAGCTCAGTGCTAGAGCGCTAGGCCCTGGATTCAGTCCTCAGTGCTTAAAAATAATAATAACAACAATAATAATAATAGTAATAATATAATGTAGAGAGCAATAGGGGAAGACATCCTATGTGTCCTCTGCCTTCTACATTTGTGTCATAGGCATGTGCTCCCACATTAACCACACATGCACACAGGCATGCAACATATATACACACACCATACACACATGCACATCACCCACCACACACAACATATATTCACATGTATGTGCACACACAGCATGCACATACATGTACACATACCATACACGCATGTACATGCATGTACTCATACCATACACACATGCCCATCACAACATGCACATGCATGCACATCACACCATACACGTGCGCATCACATGCATGCACACGCACATACAACATACACAGGCATATACATACACACATGCATACCACACACATACCACACTCACATACACATATACATACCATATATACATACACACCCCAACACACAGTTATCTTGTAGAAAATCTTGGGCTTCTGTTTTTTTCTTTTCTATAAAAGTTGTAGTTCTGACTTTTTTGAAAAATATGCTTTGCAATGGTACTGTGCCTTGGTCTCTCATACAATGATAAAACTGATTTCCAGCCTCATACATAAGAAAGTTACACTTCATTTTTTTAAAAAGAGGATGCAAACACATATGCTGTGAGTGGATATGTATTTTTTATTCATTCTGTAATTATCATGCAGAATAATGCTTCACTATGACATCCTCATGCCCCCATGCTGGGCTCTCCTCCTTCTGGGTCCCCTTCCTCCTCACAAATAGTCCCCTTTCTGATTTTAGGACATAATCTTCAACATCTAAGAAGTATAATTTGGCACTAAACTGCTAACATATTAAAACCTGAGCTGATGCTCCCTTTATGAGCTGAAGTCCGTTTTAAGTGCTGTGTGGTGCTCATTGCATGTGGCTCAGTGGAGTCTGGATTCATTCTCTTTGCAAAAACTCCACTTTGACCTGAGCACCTTTCTATGAAGCCCTTGACTCCCCAAGTTAAAGAGACTGACTTGTGAGTAATGAGAACTGCAGCTATCCCCAGGTCTATGCCTAGAGGGTAAACAAAACCCACTTATGCTGTCAGACAAAGAGGTTCCCTGGGACTCCCCACAATGGTCCAGAAGGGCCAGGGAGGAGACTCAACAGCTAACTGCCCTTGCCACCAAACCATCTAATGACCTGTGTTCAATCCTAAGATCCACATGGTGGAAGGAGAGAACCAGCTCCTTCCTACAAGTTTACTTCATGCTGACTGTGC